CTGCTGTATTCTCTGCCCTGACTGTCACCTGTCGCTGTTTTCTCTTTCAGCCCGAGTCTGAAGTGTTTGAGATCACGGATTTCACCACCGCGTCCGAGTGGGAGAGGTACGAACACACACACACACACACACACACACACACTACTCATCAAATATAAACACACACATAAACACATAAAATATGAACACACACACGTATGAACACTTAAATAGAAACACGCACACACACACATAGATAAACACACTCTTGTGAGTCAGTGTGTGTGTTATGGCTGCATGTTTGCAGTCTCCCTCCATGAAGCAGAAGCTGATGTTAGCACATCTTAATCATTATTGAGGTAAAGTTGGTTTATTGTCGCACTTTGGTTCAGTGACAGCTTCTGACACGCTCCCTATATTGTTTACCGTGGCACTTTGAATATTCGGTCTGAGCTCGCATGTAAGAATGACTTCAAAACAATATTAGCACTAGTTGATAGTCATCAGCTGCTAGTATGATTTCGCTATTTACAGTTTGCTAAAACGCTATTCTGAAATTATATTATTAAAGAGAAAGTCCCAAATGTGTGAATATAAAGCCACCTTTAGCACAGCTGTATGATTTCCCAGCACACATCAGTGTTATTATCAACATATGAACTCGCATCTCCATCTCTTAATCGTTGTGTGTTCAGATTCACTCCTCTTAGGGGATCCAACTGCTGTTTGTGCCCCATTCACCTCCATTATAGTCACATTTATTGACGTCAGAGCCCTGACAGCAGATGATCCTGCAGTCTTGACTGTTGCTGGTTATACCTGTTGGGATTTAAAGGGGCAATTTGTCGATTTAGTTTACAAATATGCTGTAAATTAAGCATATTCTGTCTTTTCACTGATTAAATGTTTCAACACACTTTTATTGTGTTATTATTGTGTGTGTTATTATTGTGTTTTGTGTGAGCTGTGTGTGATGTGAGAGCTTATCGACTTGTGTTGTGTTCAATGTGGGTTTTGTGTGATGTGCATGACATGTTTGACCTGTGTGTGTGTGTGCTTTATTGTCTTATACTCTGTGATATTGGTTCACATATAATATAATGTAATATAATATAATATAATATAATAGACCAATAATAATCTGCAGATTGCTTATTTGTTCTTTATTTCTGTAATTCAACAAGCTTTTTTGTTATTAAAGTGTTATATTAAAATTACAATGTGTTCCAGATAGTTTTTTGTTTGATATTGATTATAATATAATATAATATAATATAATATAATATAATATAATATAATATAATATAATATCATATAATAACAGCAAGCTTTTATTGTGTTAATACATTACAGTGTTCCTGATGCTGAAACTGATGTTTTTTGTGTGATGTTGGTTCATCTATAATATAATAAAGTATAATATAATTTGAAATATTATTTAATATAATATAATATAGTATGATATAATGTGATGTAATATAATATAGTATAATATAGTATGATTTATACACCTAAAAATCTGTGCATTGCTTCTTTGTTCTGTTTTTCGTCCTCGTCCATCTGTATAGATCAATAATAATTATATTTTTCCTCTCCATAGATTCATCTCCAGAGTGGAGGAGGTGCTCAATGATTGGAAGCTGATTGGCAGTCGTGTTGGTAAACCGCTGGAGAAGGTCATTACCCATGATCACATTAACACCAAACACTGTAGAACACACAAGACGTCTCGCTCGTGTAGAGGAAGCCCTGCCTTCTAGTACATGAGCCAAACAGCGATCACTATAGACCAAACTTGTTCCTGGAGGTCCGGTGTCCTGCAGATTTTAGCTCCAACCCTAATCAAACACACCTGAACAGGCTAATCAAGCTCTTACTAGGTAAACTTGAAACACCCAGGCAGGTGTGTTGAGGCAAGTTGGAGCTAAACCCTGCAGCGACACCGGCCCTCCCGGAGCGAGATTGGTGAGCCCTCCTATAGACTGAGGATCCTCTGAGAGAGGGGCTCAGTGCAGACGTGTGTTCAGGACAGTTCCTGGACCTGCTGCTTCTTTATCAATTTTAATCAATTCTCAGCGAATACTTCACAGACATGAGAATTACACTACCTGAGAAAAGTCTTGGCGCCTATCCAAGTTTTGGGAGCAGCAAATACTAACTGTTCTTCTAGTTGCTGATTTGGCATCAGAAGTGTCTCTATGAAAGGTGAAGGCCTCTAGATTTTGCTGATTTGAGCTCAATAAATCTGATCATGTCTTGATGTTGACTGATTTGATGAGGACAGTGCGGTCTGACTCTGCTCAGACTAAAGTCTCATCACTGAACAGAAATAATGTCCAGTATAGAATATAAAGTCCTGCTGCAGTGGAGACAGAATGAAGATTGTGTCTGACTCCATCATGAGCTTGGAGGACTGCATCCATACATCTCTGACATGACTCACATCACTGATTAATAAAGTCATCTGGAATGAAGAAGAAAGCCTTCAGCAGGATCCCAGAGTTCATCAAGAGTCTTTGTGTTCATCTTCAACGCCTCCTCCTTCATCATTCCCAATATTGTTGATGTCTGGTGACTGGGCTGGCCAATCCTGGAGCACTCTCTGCTTTCAGGATCTTTGATGTGGAGGCTGAAGTATGAGCAGGAGCGCTATCCTGCTGGAGAATTGTCCCTCTCCTGTGGTTTGTAATGTAATGGGCAGCACAGATGTCTTGATACCTCAGGCTGTTGATGTTGCAGATCTCTCACACACCCCCATACTGAATGACCCCCAAACCATGATGTCTCCTTCGCCAAACTTGACTAAATTAGGTCTTCTGCAGTATTGGTGATGATTGGCATGCAGATCAGCAGATGATCCAGCAGAGAAATCCAGCTTCTGACACTTTCACACATCATCAACTAGAGGTCGAGTTATTATCTGCCACTTTTACAGCTGAGATCCACCACAAGAGTCCTGTCAGACAGTGTAGATCCACATAAAGCTAAAAATCTCTACTTTAATCGAACCAACTACATTTGAAAACAAAGTTCTCTGGTTTTGTAATAAATTAATTTGAGGTACTGTCTGACTCCCGCCTCTTCCATTCAAACACAAATCACATGACAGAAACACTCAAACGCCTGCTCAGTTAAACACAAAGAGTCTTGTGTTGTCATTTTGGAGGAGATTTGCCAAGATTAAATTGTATATTATGAAGCACGTAAGTTATTAATTCTTACAGTAGACACAGTCTGATTGACATAGACAGCATGACGTCTGATTGCATACTCTAGGAATGGCCATAAGTGAGGTTGGTGTTGTGATTTGTTTTTGTTCTGGCGATTCGAACGTTTATGAATGAATTCCGTGTGAAATGACAATATGTTTCAGTTGTTATTATCAATATGTTAGTCTTAGGATATCTGTAGTATAGTGTCTCCAAAGCAGGCACAAAGTTCACATTTAGAAGATATAAACCTGATATAAACATTAAAAGTTTGCAGTTTGTCTCTTCCTCCTAAATGCATCAGATTTTTTGTTGTCATCTCAAACTTCAGTTTCTCATTTCAGTTTAAATCCTCTCTAGTGTCTGATATGCCCCGCCCCATTCCTCTCATAGGCTGTTCATTTGATGACCTTGAGTTCAGCCACTCCCACTGGCAGAGCTGGAATAAAAACAACATGCTGTTTCTTTAAAACTATACACCCCACCCTTTCTTCATGTTTAGTTGCATAATTGAATAAAATGCTAGCGTGTGCTCCTCCACAGGGCGAGTACACCAGCGGCACCTGGGAGGAGAGCAGCCAGGAGATCAGCTTTGCAGATTTCAAGTTCTCCATCACACACCACTATCTGAAGCAGGAGTCTGCGGAGAATGACAACCGCGATGAGCTGGAGGAAGGTACGCATGACCTCTGACCTCAGCTGCAAGAATAGATAAATACAATATAAAGAAAGTATTGAAATAAACAGGCTTTTATCAGGTTTTATATAAATAATTAAATGCCAGAACTCTTTTATATCCACTATACACTCACAGGCCTCTAAAACTCATGCACATGGCTCCTAAAAAGTCTAAAATGTCTTAAATTGCAAAAATCTGGGTTTCCGCGGGGTCTTAAAAAGTCTTAAATTTAAATTTTAAGCCTTGAAATGTCTGAAATGGGCTGTTCTAGGTCTTTAATATTTCTGCTCGGGTCTTATTTTTCAGATGTCCATGTTACTCTACATCTAATGCTCGTTTAAATTGTTTTTTGTTGTTGTTGTTGTTGGTTTTCGTGGTGTTGTAGTTTCTTTATTTCACTAGTCCAATTGTAATTTGCAGTAATAAACTACAAATGAGACCAACATGCAATAGCCAATCAGCTTTCTGCTACTGAACTCGGTGCGCGCGGCAAGTGTAATGTTACCACTGTGTTTGTGGAGGTTCGCTCTGGGTGGAATATGTAGACCTGTCGGTTTACAGTATATTGATGGCCTGTTTTACTAGGCATTACTGGTGATAATGGTCAGGAATGTTGGACTATTATTGCCTTTTTAGCTTATAAGTAGAGGACAGAAGCTAGCCAGACAGTCATGTGTCAGTTGTTGAGTGGGCAATATTAAACATAAAAACGTCAGTGTTTTTAGTAAGTGTACTTTTCTGTTATTGCTTTTATTCTTGCTATAGTAAAAGCATAATTGTAGAGCAGCTAATTTTCTGTTGCCAATAATATTAAACTTTATTAGGTAAAACTCTCTGAAATGTAAACAAAAGCGAGTGATGCATCAAAGTTTAATTTAAAAAATCTTGAATGGTTATAAAGATCTTTATAATCATTATAATGCATTTAAAAAATAATTAGTTAAAAAATCTTCAATGATATTAATGACGTAGTTCCAGAAACTTTCTACTTCTCTGTTTATCCGTCTGACTTTACTGTCTGTTTCTTTTGAGCGCCCGCTGTCATTTAAAAGAACATCTCGATGGGAAACGTCAAGTATTAAAGCCTCATCTGTTTCATGAGGTGCGCGATGCGGTGCCAGGCCAAAGTATAAATCAGCATTAAGATGTTTGTTTGTTTTTTCTGTAGTTTTTTGATGCATCTAACCTGTCTTTAGTACTGTTCAATTTAGGCACATTTATTTACCATTAGTTTTGTGATTTAGCGAAATGGGAGAATGTAAGTCTGCGTACTCCTGGTGGGAGAAAGACGAGTTAAACAGTGGCTGAAGCCTGTCGCTGAAAACAACTTCGTCATTTTTTTCTGTCAAGCTTTAATTCTTCGGAGTTTATCTGAGCTCTGTTGCAGGATTGTCCTCCATTTATTTATTTAAGTTAAAGGTTTGATACTGATAAGAACTTGAAGAGGCAACGAGGTCTTAAAATATTCTGAGAAGGTCTTTAAAAAGTCTTGAAAAGGTGTTGAAGTTACCTGTAGGACTCCAGCTTATACCCTGCAATATGGTGTAATTATCTTTCCTACAGAAACTTTTATTTGCATGAATTTAGTTTATTACAGTTTAGTGAATATTTTAACTAGATTAGCTTGCTTTGACATTTAAAACATGGTAAAGATAAAACTAAACTAAAATGGTTTAGATCAGGCAAGTTCAAATCTTTTTCATTGGCCAACGTTGCTATTAGTAAAAATCCTTAGCGTTAAGCTTTATATAAGTCTGAAATGTTCTTCATAGCGGTCTTCAAAAGGTCTTAAATTGTCTTTAGTTTGACTTTGTGAAACCTGCAGAACCCTGATATGATGACTGATGATACAGACTGAATGCTGCATGTCCGACAGATCTGAATGGTCTGACTGTGATGTCTGCTGAAGCAGTGTGTTGTGCAGCTGTACAGTGGTGTGTGTTGTGTTTCAGATGCGTATCCGCTGGCCATGCAGGACCTGCTGTGCATCAACAATGACTTTCCTCCACGCGCACACTGCCTGGTCAGATGGTGAGGCGATTCCTTCACTTGATGCAGTTTGATGTATTTGCTCATGAATCTCCTTGTCTGACGTCACACTAGAGTAAAGTAGTGCTGTGCGATAGTGTCTGGGCCACTCATCATGGCTAAATAAAACCACACAGAACTGCCGCAGGTCCCTGTTTTTATAAGCTTTTGAGTGACTCGGATTATTTATTCAGACCGGCTCATTCTTTTAGAAACTGTGTTTATGAGCGGATCATTGAATCACTGACTCAAATGATTCATTCAGAGCCATTCATTCATTCAGAAACAATTCAAGTGACCGTGTTTATGAACGCATTACTGAATCACTGACTTAAATGATTAATTCAGTACAACTGATTCATTTAGAGACGGTGCAAGTGACTGCGGCTGTGTTGGAAATGCCACTATCACCCTCCTCCTCCTCTGTCTGCAGTGTCCAGTATGTGGTCTGTGTGTAGTGTGCACATTTTCTGTATGCATGGAGTACCTGTATGTGCTGCTGTATCGTCCAGAATCTGCTGAATATTGCTCAAATCTGCGTTTGAATGACAAGCGGCCACACGGCATGTGCTGTACTGGCAGTGTGTAATGTGTGTACTATGAAGAGTAGATGCATTTACTGTATGCCTGAACATCGTGTGTGTGCGTGCGTGTGTGCGTGTGTGTGTGCGTGTGTGTGTGTGTGTGCGTGTGCGTGTGCGTGTGCGTGTGCGTGCGTGTGTGTGTGTGTGTGTGTGTGTGTGTGTTGTAGGTTCGGCGTGCGTGAGTTTGTGGTGATTTCTCCTGGAGCAAACTGTGAAGCCATCATCAGTGAGTCCAAGTGTAGCCTTCTGCTGAGCTCTGTGTCCATCGCTCTGGCCAACACCGGCTGGTGAGAGACACACAAACAACACAAGCTTACAACACACCTCTGTGTCTTGATCTGGGGTGTGTTTGTCAAAACCATCGTTAGCCAACTAATGTTGCAAGTTCCGTCGTTATAAACGCAGTTTGTTGATTTGCCGTTTCCCAAATCGGTCGCTCCAACAAACATTTGCAAGCTGCGTCGCAAACTTGAGCACTTGAAACTACACCACTGGAGCTGTAGTTAGAAACAGTTCCTGGCTGTGTTCTATTCCCACTTATCCCCACTATGCCCTATTCATTTAGAACATCCTAACATTTACAGTTGGAATGATTAAATAATAAAGCAGTAAGCTCATCTCTCTCAGCTGTACTTTACTTTTAAGGTATTTTACAGTTCAGTTTTAGCGATCTTCATGTTTACAGTTGTGCTCCCTTCGCAGTGCACTCCAAACACATTGATGTCATTTTGAACAGCCTTATGATGAAAGCTGTAGGTGAGCTATTATTTACAAGAGGAACTTATGTCACGTCTCCAAAGCTTGAGAAAACAAAAGCATACGTTAATTCTTTAATGTATAGTGGGTTATTTATGAAGTATCTGTGCTGTATATGACATGGGCCTGCTGGGTAGAACACTTCTGCAGTGATTTACATGCGTCAAATTGTAAAAGTAAGACTTTTTAAAAACATAAATAAATAAATAAACAATGTCCTAACTAATAATAATAACAATGATAATAATAATTATCATCATTCATTTTATTAATATTATTATTAAAGTAGGATTTTTTAAAAATTTCCTAATAAATAATAAATATAACATTGTTATTTTGTAATAAATCGCCTCATTATTTATTTATTTATATGATTTATATATGAGATTAGGTTAGGTGTCAGCTTTTGTAAGTGATTTTGTGTTGTAGAATATAATATGTAATCTTCTCAATATTATCTGTAAGGGAAGCACAGACTCTATATGTGCCGTTTACATATATTTCAGTTAATATGGAGAGTGAGTGCATGTTTTTACCAAAACTAATATTAGATTTTATTTTAATGTGTGTGCGTGTAAAATAATATAATCTGCACAAATAAATGACGGGTTCTGCTTTACTGAAGTAGTTCCTCCAGCCCGTGTAGAGCATCACTATGGGTGTTTTACATAACGTGGTTCAAGCAATGGATCTGCCACAGAGAAACTGGGTTTTGGAAAACACTCGTCACTACAACACTCTTTTCACAAATGATGCATCGTATTATGATAGTTCAGTCACGAGTTACGACGTAGTTTGGGAAACGCACCCCTGGCCAACACAGGCTTGTGATTACACACACACACACACACACAAATCTCATTTGCTGTATTATATGTAATCGTGTATTATATCATAACTGCTGTAGGAGATTTCTCTGTGTGAAACACTCCTGCATGTCAGATTAACCTGCTGCTGCTGAATCTGCATATTGTAGATGATCAAAGATAAAAGATGAGATGATTGACAGGTGTCGTAACTAAGCAACCAAACACTCTATTATAATGAGGTAGCAGTTCGTCCTGAAGCTCGTCTACTCTTCTGTCACACACTCAACAGTATGCACTAATTCTCCACCAGTATTAGTGCATAGTTATAGGATGGAGTATAAACAGATCAACAAAGATGATTCTGCATAAGGCGCTGGTGCATTCACAGACAGTCATGAGCGTCTCTGTGCAACACACACACACACACACACACACACACACACACACACACACACATACACACACACACACACATACACTGTCAGTTTCCCCATCAACAGCAGACCAGAGACTGTGGCATGCGGAGCATTGCTGTGACCACTAGAGGATAGACAGCTTCATTAATCTCTCAGGCTCTTCTGAAGGCTTCTTCACTCAGTGAGATGAGTTTAAGGCGCAGACAGATGAGCTTTACTCTGAGTGTGCTGGAATGAAGACCAATATACATGGTTTGGAAGTGAAATATGTTTATTAAACCTCATATTCCTTCAGTAGAGCTCCACTGCTGCTGCTTATACAGCAGGAGGCGCTGTTCACCCGCTGATCATCAATAACACACACCGCTCACCGCACTGTCATTCATGTGTGATAGTACAAAATCACATTTTTGGTGAATATTATTTCACATTAAAGTTGTGAGTCGCTGTAATAGTGTCCACTAAATGTACAAAATAATCAACTCTTGACATTCTACAGTGATTCCTGCTGTAATACACTGAATACTGGAGAAATGCTGTGGAATATCCTGATTTAAAGGACAGGAATACAATAAACACTTATATTAATTTGCTGGAACATTTACAGATTATTAACAGCTCATACTGTAGTTTTGCTGTAAATTAATTAAAATAAGAATTGCATTTAAATTAAAGCTGGAAATAAACTTTGTAAGCAGAATAAACACTTTTAAACACATATTTCTACATGTGTGAATGCATACACGCATGCATAAACATTCACACACACATTGCTATGAAGACTTGTTTTCCCTGTGCCAGTGGCAGATGTGTTGAGTACGAGACGTTTATAACATTTAAACAAACATCTGGTGCAGTACGACAAGATTACAAACAGCTGAGGACACGATTATCAGCCCTGTAATATTGTGTGTGTGTGTGTGTGTGCGTGTGTGTGCGTGTGCGTGTGTGTGCGTGTGCGTGCGTGCGTGCGTGCGTGCGTGTGCTCGTGTGTGTTTGTGTTTATGTGTGTGTGCAGCCAGGTGCCGCTGTTCGTGCAGATCCAGCAGAAGCACAGGAAGATGTTCAGTGGCGAGTGTCAGGGGCCCGGGGTCCGCTCAGACTTCGAGATGGTGCACCTGCGCAGAGTCCCGAGCCAATACAACCACCTGTCCGGCCTGCTGGACATCTTCAAGAACAAGATTGTGAGTGCAACACACACACACACACACACATAAGAGTAACAGAAGGTCTATTTTTAAAGATTAAGATTTGCACATTTTCCTTCAGTGTTTTTCATTAATATTATTTTATTGTTATATTGTGTGTGTGTGTGTGTGTGTGTGTGTGTGTGTATATCAGGGCTGTCCGCTGACTCCGCTGCCCCCCATCAACATCTCCATCCGCTTTACGTATGTTCTGCAGGACTGGCAGCAGTGCTCGTGGCCTCAGCAGCCGCCAGGTGTGTGCCTGACCCACACACACACACACACACTCTCTCTCACACACACACACACACACACACCAAGTCACTTACACTCATACACAAGTCACACACACAAGTCACACACACACACACACACACACAAAAGTGATTGTGTAACACCTGCAAAGTGGTTGCTTTTGTTTGTCCTTGTGTCTGTCTGCACCGCAGTGCCAGCCTTCTGGCCTTTGATTGTTGATGGTGGTGACAGCTTTGAGGTGGGATGTTTATTTTTTCCACTATTTTATCGTAAATACAGCTCTTGTCTGCCAAAGATGTGAAATGATTCACGGACCCATAAGCAAGATATTGGAGTGTGCACAAATGCTGCTTTGAGTGTGAATCTTGCTGTGCTTTGTATATACAGCATGAAGCTGCAAAAGCTACT